TCCGCGGACCCGCCCAGCGCCGTCGTGTAGCGGGAGGGCGCAATGGGGAGGGTGTGGCCGTCCCACGTGGCCTTGCGGGGGTCCTGCGGGGCGTAGAGATACCTTTGCGCCCCTGTCGGGTTGGTGAGGAGGCCACAGAGCGTAACGCCCGCCTTGGGAACAAGATAGTCGCTGAAGTTCCCCATCTCTAGTACCACGATGAACCTGTCACCGTGTGTGTCGAAGTCGCCACAGCGTGTGATGAAATTTTTCTCGCCCGCCCTGAACCCTGCCTTGATGTCCCCCGCATTCAGTTTGCGGGTGCCGTCCAGCACCCCGACGACGACTTCCTCCGAGCCGGCCACACTGAGCAAGAGGAGAGAGGCCATCATGGCCGCCACAAAGAAGGTGGCGCGTCGCAACGCGGGAGGCGAAGCCGTCAGCATTGGACGCTTGTTAATAGAAGGCGGTTTTCCCACAGTCATCGAAGATTATCCACTTTTTTCTCTTCTTCTTTTCGATGAAAAAATAATAATAATAATAATAATAATTTATAGTGCAGAGGGCAGCGTTGCTTACCTTTGAACTTTTTTTTTCTGCCTACTAACCTTTCAGAGCCGTTTGTTCGTTAAACACTTTTTAGTATTGTTCGCGTGGCTACGACGGTAGCGGCAGTAATTTTTTTTGCGTGTAGGCAGTGGATTTAGTTTCCTTTCCTTTGAACACCCACTTTCTTTCTTTTTTTTTGTCTGGGTGCTGTTCTTCCAGTTAACCGCTTTGAATTTTTTTCCCCTCCTTGCTGTGTTTGTCGCACGGCTGCGGCTTGCTCTTGTTGCGTTTTGCCTTGGCTTCCTCTACCGCCACGGCCGCACGGTCGAGAACAGATCCAGCCCCTCACGGAAAGGGAGCAGGCAAACACACACACACAGAAATGCTCAACGTATCCGCTGAGCCCCGCAACCTCAAAAAAAAAACGAGACAAAGAAAGTTGGGAGAGGGTGTGTGTGTGTGTTGTAAAGGGAGAAAGGGATATGCGCGAAAGTTATAGGAGGAGTGACAACACGTAGAGGGGAAGCAAAGAGCAAGAGGAGGTGTGTGGCTTTTGCCTTCATGAAGGCCACACACGTACACTAAACGAACACAGACACATATGTCTATGCATCTATGCACGTATGCTCCCTCATTGCACCTGTTTGCTGTTCTTCCTTTTTTTTTACTTTATTCCTCTTCAGTCACTTTCTGACTCATGGTGATTCTTCACCTGCGGTACAGGCTCAATGCCTACCTGACCGACCGCCGAGGACTCCGCCGCTTCCTCTTCCTCCGTTGGTAGCGGTTGCACTTTATGCATCGCTCGCAGTTGGCGGATACGATTGAAGCGCAGGGTGCGTTGTAGGGCTAGAAATAGCCCCGTGCCAATGACTACGCCAAAGAATGCAAGTCCAACGCCAATGACCACGGCGTTGTTTCCCCTGGCACTATCGGAATCTTCGTCACCGGTGGGGCTGCGCGATGGAAAGACGGTGATGCGAAACGGCGATCGGATGGCGCTTTGGCCACCCACAAGAAGCGTGACGACGTCCTCCAAGCGGGCAGACAAGATGGGTGCCACGTACACAAAAGTCACCACCGGGAGCTTAAATACGGGGTCGAGGGGAAGATATTTTATGTTTTCAAATCGCGCGCCAAGTGCACTGGCAAGATGGAAATACCGCACATCGCCACTGACGCCGTTATGAAGGTCAATGAAACACTGCGTACGATTACCGCTGGTGATTGCAGAAACTCTACAGCCCCGCAGCGAAACATAGACTGCGTTAGGCTTCACTCCTGAAACAAACACGAACGGTGAACCTCGCAGCTCTTCCAGTCTCTTCGTGTCATTCCCAACCGCACTTGAGACAAGATATACATGCAAGCGTTGTGAATTGATGGCATCATTGACTTTAAGTTCCCAGGAAAAAACTGCTGTATCCGTTTGGCTCAGTGTACGAGCAGAAGTGTAAAAGTCATTCGTGTTATCCACCCATTTGTCCCCTACTGAGTCGACATCGAGCATCTCAAAGGTTATTCGAAAATGATCCAGCTTCAGTTGAACGGGGCCTACGCGGTCCCGGGCACGCAACGTGCAGGCAATGGGAACAGTTTCATTGAAACACAACAGCGTGGAAAAAAGCGCCACTGGATACAATTCCGGGTAAAATAAAGGAAACCTGGTGGAATAGACTTGGGTGCTGCCTTTAAGCGCCACACGTAGTGTGAAGTCGGCCACTGACGTGCTTGGAACACTTGCAGCCGTGAAGTTAAAAACAAGATCCCCTTTGCCAGAAACAAAGTGAAAGAAACCCAAATTATTCTCTTCGACAAATGTTACATCCCTTGGATTTACCACCGCACGACGATTGCCTGCACCGTACAAGGCCGCTCTACAGGTTGTGGTGCCACGAAGAAATAGGCCTACTGCGGGGAGGTCGCAGGCAATGGGCCCCATGCGCACCGCTGTCAAAGTCAAGACAGAAACCACTAAGCCACTGTTGCGAATTGGGGTACCTTGAAGCCCCGACGCGTGCATCACGTTTACTATGATGGTTGTGCCTTCCGAGGCGGAAACATCAAACACCACCGTTGTCACGTCGTCGCCACGCCGCAGCCGGCTCACCTCAAGTGCGGCCTTGGGCACGGAGCTGTGAGTTGTCACGTAGAATTCGTCCACGTCAAATGCCATGGTGGGCTCTTGTTGCGAGTCTCGCACATTGATGACACAGAAGGATTTCTGGTGCGGTTCTATCGCCAACGGAGAGCAGAGTAGCTCCGATTCCGACGAGGCACGTGCCTCCGCCCCATGGATGAGAACATACCCCAAAAGAAAAGCCAAATGCAACAGTCGTTGGAAAAGCGCGGCTGCTTTCATATTTCCATGCAGGACACCCAAAAGTCTCTTTTCGCTACAGGTGCAAAAAGAAAAAGAAAAAAAAAACAGACATGCACCAACGATGAGAAAATAAGTTTTGTGGGAAAGAGAGGAGGACACAATAGGGAATGCCGATAACAGGAGAAAAATACTCTTTCTCACCTCTTCACTCAAAAGAAGCAAGAATGCAAACAACCAGACACACACACACACGTCTGAGATAAAGCCAAGTACTATCCCCCCTTTGTATGGGCAAGCACAAACAGCTACAGCTTTCCTTAACGCCGTCGTAGGGCCTCAAATCGCTCACGAAGCTCCTTTTCTTCCTGATCCGCGACTTCAGCGTATTGAAGATCCAGTAACGCTTCATCTTGAGCCATCTCCATGATCCGAGCCGCTTCATCTTCCTCAGTGCCCCCAGTCCCAGCGTTCTCATTCTGCCGCAATAAATTCTGCCGACCACCCAAAAAGTCCACGGGACGCTGAACAGGAGCAAAACCCAATGAGGAAATATCGGAGCTCTTCAAAACCACCCGTGCACCATCACTTGTCGGCACAAGGCCGACTGAAGCACCGACGTTCGGCGCCGAATTCTGCGGCGAGCTCTTTCTCTGGGGCACTTCGTCCCCAAGTCGGGCGCTTAGGCTCTGAAATCGCTCGCGGTGCTCCCTGTCACGATCCTCCTTCGCTTTCTTCTCAAGCGCGTCCACCGCCGACGCATGAGCTGTCCGCAGAAAGTCAAGCTGCTCTCGCTGTGCCAAGATAAGCTCCCGCTGTGACTCCACCTTTTGCTTCAACTCCCCAAACTGTCGCAATTCATCACGCAACTTGCTGCACTCCGCGGTGCGCTGCCTGAGCTCTCGCTCCAAAACTGAAACCTTCGTGCGAAGAGACTCTTTTTCGTCCACGAGCCCATCGGATGCCATGCAACCCAGCTTCTCCTTCACCGCCCCATCCACCACGCGCAAAAAGCAGAGGTAAAGGGGAAGAAGGCAATTTCAAAGTGTCATTTCCGCCGCTGACATCATCGGCCCGCGACCCTTCTCTATGACCAAGCGCATTAGAAGTGGAAAGGCCCTCCCACCCGTTTGTTCCCCGTTTCATCAGACCTGTGCGATTTATTTCACAAGAGCATAAGATATGACATTTTTCGTCCTTTCATTTTTTTTGGTGATGGCGGTGGCGGTGGCGGTGGCAGAGAAAACGGGTCAACTCACGGCAGTGGTCCTCCCCCACCCACGCGCTTGGCGTTCCCGAAGGAGGAAGCAAAATAAGATGTAATCCAGGTGGAAACGTGAAGGCACACTCACAGAGACAGCGGCAAAGTTTTGCAAACACCCCCAGACTCTTCTCTTTACATAAACCACGCGTTGGCGCTTGGCCTCCTCCGCCCTCTCCCCACCCAAAAAAAAAAAAGTTCTTTTTTTTTATTAACCCTTCATTTTCTTTCACCCATTTTTACAACTTTCCACTATCGACTCTGCACACACAAACACACACGTATTTGTGTGTAGCATCGCACCACAAACTTTTTTTTTTACTTTCTCCTTTTAAGAGAGCTTAAAACGGGAAACCAGGGCGACTTTTATCATCAGCCACCAAAACCCCAGGCTTCCCTCTTCCTTCCCTCGCGTTCTTGTGGCTCGTCCAATTTCCCACCCCTCCCAGCCCTTTTTTTCCCCCTCCGTTCTTTTTTCATGAAGACGCTCCTTCATCCTTTTTTTTTTATTTGTTCATTCTTCCCTTTTCTTTCTCATAGCAACTAGGACGCGTTTTGATAAGTAGACGAACCGGCGCCGTCCGGGGCCTGTGTCGCGTGCTTCGACGCTGCAGTGCCGACCGAACTGCTGCCTGGCGGTAGGGGCCCCTTTCCGGCACCCCGCCGAGCCCGTTCTTCGGCGAGCTTCCGCGTGATTGCCGCCGTGCGCTCGGAAACATCGAGGCTTCTGCTAGACTTCGACCGGCCATGCGATGCATTGGCCGCAACAGGCATGACCGATGCTCGCGGGGGGCAAGCAGAATGCTCTGGCCCGGCAGCACCTCTACTTTCACTTTCGCTGATCACGAGTTCCTGACGAGGGCGCGGCGTTATCCTCCCACTTGAATGACGTTGGCACAATGTATTGTTCGATCCTTCGTCCACCCCTCCCTCATCTTCTGCCTCCTCGTGAACGCGAGTATCATGACCCACAATCCCCATAAGATGTGGAGGTGGAAGAAGGGGCCGTGAGGCATGTTGCAGTGAAGCGGTCGCGGCATCAGTTGTGGAGACTTGGAAGCGACGTTCTCCGCCTAGGCTATGAAGTAGGTTGGCAAGTTGTTCACAACGTTCGTCTAGCCTCTCTTTTACCAATCTTGCCTTAAGATGAACCTGGATGAGCTTCAGTTGCTCTCGCTGTGACTCAATCGTGCGACTTTGCTCTGTCAATAGGAGCTGCTCTACATGTATTTGCTGTTGTTGTGTGTGGACCTGACTTTTATGGTTTCTCACTAATTCTTCCTGATGTTTGATTTGTCGACCCTGCATCTCCAACTGCTCTCGTTGTGCTTCAATGATTTGTTGCATAGTGCGTAGTTTTTCCTCATAGGTGTGAATGCGCTCTTTTTGACTTAGAAGAAGCGCACCTTGCACATCATTCCGTTCCTTGTGTTTACGAAGGAGATTGTTATAGAGCTCAGATTGCATGCGAAGTGCCGTGAGGCGGCTGTAAAGGTTCTCAAGCTTTTCTGCCTCTGGAAACATATCACGAAAGGTGTTGATATTTTGGGACTGCTGGTATCGCCTCTGAAAATCCCGCAGACCCCAATTGCGCTGCCGTATCTTTTTAAGTTCTAAGCCCAGAAACGTGGAAGGGAATTGCGACGCAATTTCGTCAGCGTCATCCTGTTGCTGCCGCCACGGCTGTTGTTGTTGTTGTTGTTTATTTCCGCCTTCGTTCCCCCTCTCTTTCCGCTCCCGCTTTTGGTGCGGCCCGTGCACATCCTCGGCATTTTCCTCCTCCCCAGTCGACGCCTGGTGTGCGGAGTGAGCCTCCCCCTCGGACACTGCCGCCTGCGGGTCGGGGTGCTCCGCCGACTTCCGCACAAACAAGTAGCCTAGCCCAAGATGGCAGTCCGGGCACTGCAGCCGCCCGCGACAATCGTACGCGTCAAACCATGGACACCGCGCGGTCTTTGTGCGACGCCGTACCTTCACAAAGGACTCCTCAACTATAAAATTCCCTGGATGTGCAAACCACTGGGTCGGAGACGATGCACCTTGCAGTTCCTCCGCCGAGGCAGACGGCGAGCTCGCTGGGGGGGCCTCGGTGGCACGACCCCTGGTACAAAGGCTGAGTCCACACTCCAACACGTCTTCCCTGACGCATACCAGGTCCACGCGAGTTTCTTGGGCACGGCTATAACGTGACAACGCCCGCATCACTTGCCGATAAGAGCTTCCGTCGGTGGAGGAAAGCCCGCGCGGTGAAGTGTCCGTCGTATTTTGGTCATCCTCCTCCTCCGGATTCGTCTCCACCAGGTCCCCCGTGCTTCCGACGCTGTTTCTGTTAGGCAGTGCGTTCATCGGACTACTCGGGTTTGAGCCGCCGGGTTGGGTCGTTTGCGTGGTTTCCGCATTGCTTTGCCCTTCTTGCTGCTGCTGCTGCTCAGAGCGTTGCGACACCACACCTGCCTCCAGTGCCAGCTGATGCGCTGCTGGGGGCAAAATGTTTGCAATTATATCCTCCGAAACCGTGACGTTGACTTCCACCACCTCATCCCCGCTGTAGCACGGCACGGAGGTCTCCAGGGCCAAAACGTCCTCTAACAGGTACTCAAAGGCTGTTCCTGTGGTGCCACCGGCGACAGGCACCATGAGAAGGTCCTTTTGCGAGCAAATGGGCAGCTCGCACCTCGAACAGGCGAAACAAAGCGCGGACGACATTACACTTCACGGGGTTTAAATTAAGATGCACACTCGCGGGGGTGGGCGTCCAAATAGAGTAACGCTGTCAAAGTGAGAACACTCAACCGAAAAAAACAAAACAAAACAAAAAAGGAAAGAAGGAAAGAAAAAGTTGCTGAAATCTCCACGGAGTCACGTGATACTTCTTTACTTGTGAGGTTGCTTCCCCCTTTATTGATAGTCCCCCCCCCCCCCAACGCTTCCAGCGGAGTAATAGGGTTTCTTGTTGGTTTATATTTCGACACCGCTTGACGTGTTTACGTTTGATTCCTTATGAGTCACTTGCACTCTTCGTGTATGCGTTTGTTGTATCCTACGCCCGGGGCTGCCTTGCTTCTGTGGGGCGGCGGTGCAGAAGAGCTGAAGGAAGAGGAAAGTTGTCAACGGAGAGGCGTCGCTGACGAGGCAGGAGAAGAAGGCAAGGGGCGAAAAAGGAGAAGAAGGAAGAGGTGGTGGTGAGTTCACACGAGATTCATGTCGCCTCTTGTTAACTTCGTTGCACAGCGGCAAACAAACAAATAAACAAACAAAATAAAAGAAGG